TTATTAGTTTTGTTCATGTGAGGATGGTTAAGCTGACACAGTCTGTATTTACTGCAAAGTTTTACGGAGCTGCTTAGGATGCAGGAAGCTTGGACTTAGGGCTTTACATAAAGTGTAGTTGATATAAGAGATTTTAATATACCTTTACCTGAAGATGCATGTCATTGTGTTTAGCATATTGCATGATGCTTGCGGAAGACTGCATAAGACCCCCAACCCATGTGTTTATATCTTAGGACACAGACAGAGCCAGTGAATATTCCTCATGTTTTACAGAGGACTTTGCAGATGCTATTAAATTAAGGATTTTGTGATGGGGAGATCATCGTATGTGACACTGTGAATAATATATGCAATCTCAAGGAAAGTTAAGGAGGTGAGAATGACAAAGGCAAGAGAAGAGATGTGACAGTGGAGTAGGAGGTTAGACAAAGGAATATAAACCAAGGAGTGCAAGTCCTTGGGAGGCAAGATAATTTATCACTGGAGCCCACAGAAGAATCTAACTCAACGGTTCCTTGAGTTTTAGGTCCAAAAAATGTTTTGAATTTCTAACCACCACTCCAAACTGAAAGGGAAAGAATACACATTATTTTAAGCCACTACATTTGTGGTAATTTGCAATAGCAGTTAAGAGGAAAAACGAGCATATGCTAAATTGGGTTTAAACTTCTCAGAGTCTCTGCTTACCCACTTTCCTGAGTTTAGCGTTGTTTTTGAATCCGTGGCTTTACTCTTGGAGCAGAGTGAGCTTATTGCACTTTTTCTAACCTTGAATGTTATTGTAATCTAGTAAATTTTAAATGTTGTCACTTGTGAATAGGTAGTTTTTTATTTTTCTATTTAAATCAGCTACCCCTGTTCATATATAGTAACATATTTAGCAATGTTTTAGCTCAAAATTTATTTTTGGTTGTTATTGCTTCTTTGTTCAGTTGAATATGTTTTAATAAAAACGTCCATTAGTGTTTTCTGTATTTCTTATTTTTTAAAAAGTGACTTTTAGAAAATCATGTTCTTGCTGATTGGGGCTGTTGTTTGACTTCATTGCATCTTTTCTGGCTGTGGTTTTTGGGAGTCTCTGAATGCCGCCAAACAGCTTAGGGGCTCTAATTCTGCCCAGCCCACCACTGCAGCAATCTGTATACCCTTGGTTGTCCTGCCTACCGCTTACCAGCACAAGTGGGCATGGACAAAGTGGAGTAGCAGGTGTAGTATTCTGATTCAGAGGTTGTGTCGTTTGCCATGTGGACCCGGGTCTTGTCCTCCTTAGAGTACCCAGATGGCCGAGCACATTTGTGTAAGTTTTCAATTCCTAGAAAACAGAGCAGAATTTGTTGATATATACTTTGTGTTTGTTGTATTCATTTGGTAATCTGTCATGTATTCTCCCTTCCAAGAGCTAACCAGGCCCAACCCTTCGTAGCTTCTGAGATCAGATGAGATTAGACGCATTCAGGGTAGTATGGCTGTCAACAATTATCTGTCATATATTCTTAATAAGATATCCTGTGCTCAGAGAATAAACATCCACAGCTTGGTGGGAAAATATCTAACCTTTTAAAACCCATAGTATGCTCATGCACATAGACATTTGTACGTTTCCTAGATGTAGGAGTCTGGATTCGGATGGATCTATTGGTATGCACTGCATTTCATCCACTAATGCTGTCAATCCCAAAAGTATTATAATTCATGAGGAAACACTACTGTGAAACACCCTTCAAAATAGAAGTATTTGATATATTTAGGTCCATATATGAAGACTCTATGCAGCTGTTTGCAGTATGTATCTTGGAACTTACAGTGCTATGAATATTACATTCAATGTAAGAGATGTTAATATACATGTACCTGACTGTGCATCCGTTCAGATGTGTAGCATATTTCAGGAGAGTTGTAAGAAGTTGCATAGTGCTCCCCACCCAAGATGCCCGTATCTGAAGTCCTGCCTCCTCAGAATGCTCCCCAGTACACACTTGGCAGATGCTCATACATGTAGGATTTTGTGAGGGGTAGATTATCCTGTAGCCGGGTCCTAAATATCACTGCAGGGAGATTGATAAGAGGGAAGCAGGAGGGGCAGATGCAGAGGTAGATGGAGAAGACAAGTGACAGTGGAAGCAAAGGTCGTTGGAGATACAAATGGGTTACACTTCATAGAGTGCAAAGAACGCAAGAAGCCACTCAGTCAAGGCAGAGTGTTCTTCTGTGGCATCTCCAGAACGAAGCAGCTCTGTTAGCACCTTGGTTTTTAACCTCATAATAATATTTCAAAGTTCCAACTTGAAAAGAATGTAAGAAAATGAATGTGTTTGGTTTCAGCTCACTGAGTTTGTGCTACTATCTAACAGTATCTAAAGGACATACACAAATATACTAAATTTGAATTAACCTTTTCCATCTGGGTAGGCCCTACCTTTTTAATTCTCCACTGATTTTAGAGTTGGTTTGAACCACAGGATAAGCATAAAGCCCTTCAAATTCCAATTACTATCTTCCATGTTATATTCATTTAATACCTCAATTATACCTATTTTATCAGTTCTGAATTATTATTTTTGATAAGCAAACTCTCAAGGCCCATTTATATACAGCCACATAATTACAAATGCCTTAGTTTATAATTTGTTCTTGTCATTGTCTCTGTGTTTATTTGCCTGGATTGATTCTTTGTTTTCCTATAGTGTTCTTTCCTATTATGTGTATGTTTATTTTCCATGCCCTTATTTAAGCATATGCTTGTTGATTGTGATTGCTCTTTTTCTTTGCCATTATTGTGATTCTTGAGGACCTTTGAACAATTAGCAACTACAGGTCTGCTCTGCTTCTTACTGCACTGACCTACCTCGCTTTGGGTGTCCTGCCTGTCCCTTACCGGCTGCAGAGTGCTTGTGCAAAGTGGAGAGGCAGGAGTAGTATTCTGATTCAGAAGATAACTCTTTCACAGTAGGCACCAGGACCTTCTCCTCCAAAGGGTACCCAGTTTGTGGAGCACAATTTTGTAAGGTTGATATTTCTGCAAAAAATGGAACAAATGTCATCAGTGGGCACTGGGAGTTTCGTTCTCTCTTTAGTTTATCATTTAGTTCATTTCATCCCTCATGTGGTCTAAGTATCATTTCCTAAGCTCTGAAAACAGACATGACTCACAAGCTCGAAGGAAATCGTCAGTCCTGCTGGAACTCACGACATGCCCGAGCAGAGATGCATGTGTAAGGCTTGGCTGTTGGAGCCTGACTAGACTTGATCTGTTTGGGTTGAACCGCATGTCTTCCATGGATGCTGTGTTGCCGATGGTGTCACAATTGTGAGGGAACACAACCATCAACCTCTATTATTTTGCCAAACTTGTTTCCTGACTCTGCTCACATGAGACTTCAATAGTCTCACTGCAGTTCTTTGCTTCCAGGGCTGAATTTTGTATACAGGAAAGTCAGAAACCTTAAATGAAACTGTGAAGATCCCTGGAGGCATGAGAACTTTCAGCTTAATACATCTACAGACTTTCTTCGCCCTCATTGCACTCTAAGATCACACACTCCCCCACCCTAGGTACATTTTGTCTTCAACAGATCTAACTTGGGCTGAGTGTCGGTGCATTGCATTTCCTTGTGTGTCTCCTTGAAAAATGCCCTGTTAGGCTCCTTCTGTCCACCAACCTTGCCTTGAGTGTTACCTCGGTTTGCCTCCACCACATTTTCTACTCTAACATTTTGTATCTTACAGCTGGCGTTTCACAGCTTTAAATGAAACTCATGGTATATTTTTTAATTTTTAAAGATAGTAAATATTTATGATTTATGATGTGATTAACTATTTAAATGTTAAATTCACTAGTCAATGTTTGGAGAAACCCTCAGGCTTTCAGCAAATAAATGTCACTTTATCAAAACACAATTCACCAAACATACTTACTCCAAATCTACAAAAAAACCAACATGAATTCAAAGGAATTCATTACCAACAGGGAAATTATATCAATGAGGTGATATATATGCAGAGGTGAGGTAGAACAAACTGGTCATGTGCCATGTGGGTGAATTTCACTAATATGAGCGAAAGAGATCTCATACAAAGTGTGTATTGTGCACTTTTGTTTATATAAAGATGAAACAATTCAGGGATAATGAATCCATGATGCCATAAAAGAGTAACCATTACTCTTTTGGCAGGCACACAAAATTTCAAAAATCTTCATGCTTGTGGAAATTGATAGGGGATGAAGGTGAAAGATAGGAGATGGATCTACAAATGGGTTAAGAGTGAGACTATTGGCTATGAAAGCACATTGATGATACAAGGTCTTACAAAGATGTGTCATTCTGGAGCGGGCATCTGTTCTCTGCCTCAAGCACATGTCATAATTACACTACTGGTTTGACCCTGTTTTCAGATAGTAGATTTTTCGTCATTCCTTGAAAGTGGAGCATCCTGTGTCACTTCCCTCGGAGCTGCTGTTCCTGAGTGCCTCCTGTGACTCTACCAGGCAAACCTGGCATTCCACTGACCTTGCAGGGCTTGCTCCAGTTTTCTTGGGTGCTTTATTCTTGGAGCATGTGGCTTTTACTGCTGCTCGTACCAAAAGCCATGGGAGAGCAGTGCTATGGTTTGAATATTTGTGGGTTGTCTCTTAACTGCTTCTTGTGTTGAACTGTAAATACTACTGTGAGATATTATGAAGGTAGACATTTATTCCAGTTATGAAGTACAAGCACAGGGCCATAGGACAGGATGATTACATAGGGTCATTCAGGTGGAACCCACATAAGTGAATTAGGCTGGCTTTAGAAGTGGGAAATACACACATTCACGTGCACCTCCATATATGATTTGCCACCTGATGATCTGCATCACCCAGAATTCTGCTATCATAGGAGTGATGGGAGGCAGATCTCTTAATAGAGTTTGGCTCCATCATAGATTGAGTTATAGCAAAGAGAAGATAACCAATACGAGTGCTTTGAATGTTCGGTGTTTTTTTTGTTGTTGTTGTTTTCTGGAATGCATAAACTTGAGTGTACTCCTGAGAGAGTCACTCAGTTCATCTGTATGTGCCTAGATGCTGGCTGGCTTCTGTATCAGGATCTCTCCCTCCTGCCCCAATGAGCTTGTTTTCAGAGGGGATACAGGAGAAATGCTCTGAGGAGCAAGAAGCAGCATCCCCTGTTTTCTGGCCTGAAGTTGGGGTCAGCACATTTTGGTTTTGTTGCAGAACACCCTTGTATAAATTCAAGTTTCCTGAGAAAGGACAGAAAAGATACAGGGTTCACACTTGCTGTGTATGCATTTATCCATCTTTAAATAAGCAGTAAGTCTAGTGTGGCAGATTGCATATGGCTCCATCTTCAAGGAGCTTTCTACCACTGAAAACACTAGTTGTGGAGATGTGTTTGTCTGTTGCTGTATGTCACTGGAGACTGGAATTGCAGTATGTGCCTTTGTAAATAGTGTGAGGATTGTTACCAACCCTTTATCTACCTGTGTGTAGCTTTCCTATTCACCAAGCTCCCTTAGAGACTTCTGAGCTGACTAGGGGGTGACCTGTACCCCTTCCTGGCATGGACTTACAAACCTGTATCTGCTACCCTGCTATTTCATTTTCCATCTGCCTGGGATATTGACACTCCCCTTTTGAGAGCTTTCTGTTACAGTGTTTTCCTAATCTCAGGTGCTGAAAGATCATAAGGAACAGATTTATTCTATTGACTTAAATGTATAACCTATATTCTTGTAAGACAGAAGTGGCTTCACTATGCTTTGGTTATCATGACCTCGTTCCTAAGTCAAGGTTATATGGGGAATAAAACATTCTGGAGAGTCAAAGCTGGTAGCACAGAAATATGTTCTGTGTTACTAGTGCCTTCCTGTGGGTGCTGTATGTACCCTGTGTGTGCCTATGTGAATAGGTGTGATTTTATATCTTACGCACCTCAGTGTCTACACTCAGTATCATCTTTGGATGTGTGCTGATTTTATTGAAGAAAGAGACAGCTTCACTCGCTTCCTCTGTAGGGGACCATCTGTACATAGAACCTTAGACTTCAGTGGAAATGACAGATTCTAATCAGGCGTGAGCCATGGATTGGATTGTTGAGGTTGGCTGCCTTCCCCTCTGCTGACTGAACAGGGACCTCAGCTCCTGTGAGCCGTTTGTTTCCGGTTAAACTCCATGGTAGCTGTGCCCATCCAACTTCACCATTTTACCTGTAAGACCTGTCTCCGTCTCTTCGATTCAGTCTTTGTGACTATATGGTGTTACGAGTGTTACTGCATGTCCTCTATGTTTCTCACATTCCGATAGCAGCCCCACACTTACATCCTCACAGCCCGAAACAATGGATTTCACTCCTTAGTGAATACATTCTTTATGGCTGCACTGAGCCCTGCCTAGACATCTTCTAATTTCTCAAACTTTTTAAAATGTTTCCTTCATCCCGGGGAGCCACACTTTCTTCACTGAAAAGAGAAAGTGTCAGTAAAAAAATCCTAAGAACCTAGTCACTTAAGAAGTTTCACTTTAAAATTTTATGGACAGTTAACACGAACTAGTGAGTAGCCATGTCTTCTTGACAAGGCCCCAAGCTGCATGGGGCCAATGCCTGGGTCTGAGAGCGTCTGTGCTTTGAGTTTGGTCTTCGGGAAGGCTGGACACGTACAGGGCCCCCCTATCTCACACAACCTTCACTCCTCTCCCTCACTTCTCTTTTTCTCCAGTCCCCACCAGAATCCTCCCTCCTTCAGAGAAGGCAGTGCCTGGCTGCACCAGACCTAAAGGATATCCTAGGACACACCTCTTGATATCTTTGCAGCTTGGGGAGAGTATGTGACTTCCAGATGTTTTGTCTTTTGTTTCCGCTTCATCGTTCAACTCCTTGGAGAATTATTTAAAGCAGGTGCTTTTCTCCCTGCATCTCTGTTCTCAAAGAGATAGTTAATGAGATTTGAACCTTGAAGAACAACAAATCACATAAAGCACGCTCCACTTAGTCACCGTCCTGCTGAGTGTCCAGTTCAGCATTGAGTTTCAGGGATGACAGCCCATCACTAGGGCCTCTGCAGCGTTTATGACCTGTTGATGACATCACTCTGTTCTGAACTCAGCAACTCCTTCAGGAGTGCAGGACCGACACATCCTCTTGCCGGGGGCTTTCTTCAAGTTATTTATTTATTTATTTCTTGAAATGGCATGTGATGCAGAGAAAGGCAAATAGGGAGGGAGATCCTGGTTCAGTCTCCAGACACCTTGAAAAGATAGAGCTAGGCCATACCAAGAGTAGCAACAGGAAATTCTATTGAGTCACATCCATGGGTAAGCAGGAACACAAGTGCTTCGCTGTCATCTGCCTTCATGGAGTGCTTATCGGAAAGCAGGTGTATCTGCCAGCTCTCTGCTCGTGTGCCTGGAAAAGCAACGGGAGATGGCTCAAGTCCTTGGGCTCCTGCTACCCTCATGGGAGATCCTGACAGAGTTCCAGGCTTCTGGCTTGATATCCCTCTCATTCAATTCTCTCTCCATTCTCTTTGCCTCCCTCTCTCTGTACCCATCAGTTCCACCTTCCCATCTTCCCTTTGCCTCTCTTTGTTTATCTATGAAACTGCCTTTCAAAGAAATACATCTCAAGAAGAAGGAAAAGGAGGAGAAGGTGGAGAAGAAAAGAATATTTGAAGCAGAATCGGGAATTGATCTCAGGCACTCAAATAGGGAAAGCAGTTATCCCAAGAAGAGGTAGAACCTGCTGAGCCCTAACATCCATCCTGGGAGTGTTTATTACCATGGAAGTTCTATTATTAACTTTTGTTTGTATTGCATTTGATGCCAAGACTTTAATTTGATGTCTTACGTTAAAAAGAAATTATATGATGCATCAAGGGATACGAGGTTACTAAATCACCTGAGTAGTGAGGATATAGCAGTGCAAAAGAGGGCAGGGAGGCTGGTGTTGTGGGCAGGACAAACCGCTAGTTGTACAACTAGCATGCCATATCCGATTGCCAGTTCCATACTACTTCACTTTGACCAAATCTCCTGCTAACGTACGTGAGAAACCAGAGTGGTGGTTCAAATCCTTGGGTTTCTGAAATCCACCTGTGAGACTTGGACATAAATCTCAAACCCTATTCTTAGTTTGTCCTGCCCCTGGACTTAGGAGTTTTTGAGAAGCAAACCAGTGAATGGAAAATCTCAAATCTCCTCCCTCCCCATCACTCTGATTTTAAAATATATTGTACCTTTTTGATTAAAAAAAAAGAGAATTAGGCTTAGAACTATACATGTCTCATAGGAAATAATTATATATTGTTAATGGTACTGTTTAACTTAGCATATCCAAACACTAGTAAAATATTTGGAAATAAGTGTATTTACCCTGATTGGACACCGTGCATTGTATGTTGTACTGAGATACCAAATAGCACTCCCAAAATATGTACAAGTAGGCATATGTCTGTTTTCAAGTAGATGTTTTTAAAATGTGAGGATGTTGTAGTGGATTTGCAGCCATTCCATGCATCTATATTTACCGAGTTTATCTTACTGCTGGCAAGTCTTATGTGTCTTCACAATGTGACTCATCTCTTTGCCACCATTCCACATCATCTCACCATAGCTGGGAGTAGAGGTCACGCTTAGCTGTCAGTCCTCAGCCCATCTCAGAGGTGGTTATGTTCTTACACCAGAGCTCTCAGCTTCCACTTTGGTTTTCCAAGTCTGAATCCCTATCTTCTGGAAACATCTGGGCTGTGTATATGGCTGCCACACTGGGGTGACTCCTTTCTGACTCACACCCGGAACAGGAGTTATGCCATCACTTGGAGTCTCTGCTTTCAACCCCAGCAGTTAGCAGGGCTTTACCTCTGGAACCTCCTTTATTCAGTGGTTTGCACCTGGTTGCACCCCTTGATGACCTTGGCTTTTGCATGATGAGCACTAGCAACAAGTTTTCATGTCTTTCACCACAGTGCTGGGCCCCCTGCACTAGGTTTCTAACAACTAGTTTGTTAACCCCATACTCTGTGAGATAAACCAGTGACTACTTTGTTACAGAATTTGGCACTTGTTTTTAAAATATTTTATTCTCTGGTTACTATTTTTTTTTGTACCTTTATTTCAAACTTGTCATAAATATTTAACATAGTTAAACCAATTAATGTATTTTAAGCTCCAATGCTTCCTCTTTTTAACCTTTTATTTCTATTAACTTTTATAGAATAGATTATATAACATATATGTGACCTATACATTTGAATACTACCATGTATCTCATATGGTAAGGTACTTTCCTGCATAGTTCATTAACGATAATAGCTTCGCACTATCACAGATAGTTGGAAGTCTACATGAAGCCTTCACCTGAAGTGCATTCTAGTTAACGGTTGGTTTAGTCCAATCGAGCTCCCTGCCTATATGCCTAGGAAAACTGTGAAAGTTAGCCAGAATGCTTTGGCCCTCCACCCAGGTTCATTTTGCACTGAACTAGTTCACCAGCAGAGGAGGGCCCTGCACTTGGCTTCTCCAGAGCCAGCAATCCAAACAAACCTCTCTGCTTTAAATTTGATCACCTCGAGAGTTTTATTATAATAATAAAAAGTTCTTAAGTTCTTGTTTTCTTCTGGAATGGGCAGACTCGTACGAACTGATAGAATTCCTCTTTTCTGTACTATGCTTAGGTCCTGGATTCCTTCCGCATCCTCTGAAAGGTCCTCTTCCCCACCTGCACCAACAAGTCTGTCTTCGGATGAGATGCAGGAGAAGTGGTGTGAGGAAGATGTGTCCTCATGTCCCTGGTGGTCTGACGTGGAGGTAAGTGTCTTTTGTTTATACCATAGAATATCTCTGTAGGAGTTCAAGTTTCCCGAGAAATCGAACCAAATCAGAGGTTTGTGTCTGGCATATCTGTGTGCATATCCATCCTTAAACAACAGTATGAGCCACTTAGCAAGTTCTGTGCTCCTAGGGGCGCCATAATCTGCTTCTTACAAGTGGAAACTTTAAGTGTCTGTCATGTTCCTTTATCACATCAGTACGTGCCAAGGTGACTAGATTGCGCCATGCGTATCATTTGTAAGTCGTGCACAGATTGTTAGCAATTCCTTGTACATATGTGCACACGGCTGTAGTGTATCATCAAACTCCCTCACAGTCGACTCTGACCATTGGGACTAAGTTAATGGATGGGGTACAATGAACCCCTTCTGGGTACAGACAGGCATATGACCTGTGGCATGTTATTTTGTCTTGCATCTGACAGGGATGCCAATACCTTACTGTCTGCTTCAATGCTGTTGTGTAATGATGACAGTTTTCATTGATCCCAGTCTGAATTGTAACATGGAGGAGACATACCACCTTGACCTGGCTTGTGCTCTGACATAAGCAGAGAGCCCATTTATCAAGCATCACTATGGCAAGAAGACCTGGTAGATGACGTGTAGAAGTGTGTATGGTAGATGTTAGCATCTCCTTTTTGCTGACTCAGCTCTTTCGCTTTGTAATTGTGGGTAGGTATGACTGTGTGTTTTACTTCTGTCCTAATTTATACTCAGTAGCATCTTTGAACGTGCACTGACAGGAGTAAAGTTGACATTGGGGCAGCTTTCCACTCCAGGTCTCTCTCTGCAGGATCATTATAGTAGCCAGGGCCTCAAGTTTTGTTAGTATTTTCTTATTCTACTGAAGAATATGAGCCATTATTTGGATTGTTGCAGTTGGCTCCAGTCTGTTCCCCTCACCTCCACTGTGAAGTAATTTACCCCCACATGAAGTTACCCATTTACTATTTTTATAATTATGTACATAAATGGACTAAATATCATATACATGGTTTCAAGAACTTACAGATCCTTCCACGCAACATTCCTCTCTCTTGTTCAGAACTTGATTATTGTAACGCAGCATGGTAGTTATTCCGGTCTAGCTGGTCATCTTCCCAGAACATCTCTTCAATAGTTATTTTTTTCCTCTGCCTTATCTTTTACACTCACATGGAATTCTTCCATTTATACCTTCAGAGTCCAAAACAAAACATCTTTATTTCTTGGTGAATAAATTATTTAGGGCTGTGTACTTATCCCTTCTGAGACATCTTCGGAGTGTCCACTGTTCCCCTCTGGGATATCTCTTAACCTCTAGAAGCCTCACTTTCTTTTTCTTTGTAAAAAGAAAGTTTTCAAAAAAAAATTAATATACAAATCTCTAGTGCTTTCAGAAGTGAAACAAACGAAAGGAGATATTTTACTGTTGAGAAACCCATCACTGTGCGCAGCAGGATGTCACGGGACTTTGCGGAGGCAGCGCCTGGAGCCCGTACCTGGAGCCTGTACCTGGAGCTCCACAGAGCAGCATGCGGCGTCCGCTCTGCACTGTCCCATCACAGGAAGACCCCCACACAGCTGTCTCTCTCGCCTGCCTCCTTTCTCCCCCTGCCTTTCCCTTACTGCCTGTCCTGTGGAACCAGGAATCTGCTCCTCCTCCTTGGAAAGGTGCTGCCTGGTCACAGTGGTCCCACAGGCCGTACCTCTTGATGTCTTGGCAGGCTGGAGAAGATGGGTGTTTTCTACATGTTTTTTTTTCTTTTGTTTGCACTTCATGGTTCAACTCCTGGGAGAGTTGGGTAAACCAGGTATCTTTCTCTCCGTAAGTCCGCTCTCAGAGTTAGTGGTGATAAGGCAGGCAGTGTGGACGCGTAGATCAGTAAGCCGTACAGCATGCCCTCTTCTCACTGAGCAGTACTGCCGCGGCTCTCAGTGCATCCTCAAGTCATCATAAGGTCTCAGCGGCATTCTGTGGCCCATAGATGACATCAGTCCATTCCAGGGAGGCAGTGGTAACTCGGAACACTGCAGGATTGTTACGGCTTTATTACCTGTAGTGAGTTGTCTTTTAAAATCCAATTCTATTTAAAAGAGTTAGAGAAGGCGAGACGGAGAGTGAAGTCTTCTGTTGGTTTCCACCCCAAAGGACCATAAAGGCCTGAACTGGGCCCATCCAAAGCCAGGAGCCAGGAACTTCTTCTGGGTCTTCTGCCTGGGCAAGGGGACCAAG